GATAAAAAACAACCATGCCCAGGCTTTAGCTCTGTTTTGAGAAGTGCTTCCTCAGATTTAGGAATGAACGCTTGCATGCACCACTTTATCGAAGGGCATCATAGCAGAAGGAGGTGGATCCCATGTCTCCATCTTCATAAATGAGGAAATGGAGGCTCAGAGACTTGACATGCTTTTCCCAGGACCATGCACAAAAGTATCAGAGGGAGGCTTCAGGCACTTGGCTGGCTTGACACCTTATTTTCCACAAGTTCCATATTAAAAGTCTCTTTTGTGTTGTTTTTGCATTTTAAAACAAAAGGAAAAGGATGACAGGGTGCTGGAGAGTGAGAAGGGGTCAAGGACACATCCTGTATCTGCTGGAGTGGTGTAGTGCATGTCTGCATGGTGCGACATGAAAGCCCTGGATAGAAAGGGGAAAAGGGGTGACCAGGCTTTCAGTTCTGTACTAGCCAGCTGCCTCACCCCGTCACTTTGGGCTAGGTACTGTACTAACCACAGTTCCTCCTTGTTCCCCCAGGAAGCTAAAGGAGTGCTTTTTTCTCAGTGTTGTTGTTGCTATTGGTGTGTGGTGTGTGTGTGTGTGTGTGTGTGTGTGTGTGTGTGTGTGCGCATGTGTGTGTGTGTGTGTTTCAGTCACCCTTCTCCCAGTGCCTGAAGCTTAACAGTCTAACACGGGTATTGGGGGAAAAGAACAGTGTACCAGAAAGTGGGCAGAAAGGCAGGCAGGCAGAGAAATAACTGCATTAATTTTGCTTTGATTTCTGTTTCAAGTCCTGTAATGACAGATCTCACTCCAGTGCTGTACGTTTTGGAAATATACTTAAAAGGGGAATGTGGTTGTTTTTAGGTATATTTTAAGTGTCGGCCAATAAAAGACAAATACTAGAACAGCTTAATATAGCATTTTACAAACCTTTTAGTATTCTAAGGCATCTGTGACCTGCAGAAATCTAATTGTTTCTCCAATACTCTTTGGAATTGTTCAGAAAGATGTTGTACCATTTCTAACTGGTACATTAAGCATCTGGCCTGACTTTACAGGATTGCAGATAGCTGAGTGTGCACTCTCTCTCTATTTTATTAACATCCCATCGGCTCACGTTAAGATGTAGTACTGATGTGCCCTGACATGCATCACTACCTGTTGACAGAAAAAAAAAAAACAAAACTGGGCTAGACTTGAGAGGGTCTACAAACAGAAAATCTTTTAAAGATGTTTTGGCAATTTAAACAGAAACTCTGGCTTTAAAAAAAAAAAAAAAGAAAGAAGAAAGAAGAAAGAAAAAAAAAGAAAAAAGAGCAGTTTCAATTTTACAAATTTATAAAACATGCCCAAGTTTCAGCATGCCAAATTCTCTGAAAATTAATCTCCAGCATCCATTCCCTCCTTCTCTAACTAGGAGTGCCCAGTTTTCCTTTGCATCATACCCTCGCCCCACTCTCCCCATTCTCACCACGTGTTTGAGTGGGATTGACCCCACCTACCACTCTTATGGGGCACATGCTCACCAACATACCCTTCCACCTTCCTGGAATAGATTCTGGAATGAGCATATGAGCAAGTATAAACAAATGAGATAGAGTGAATCACAGGCTTCTGTGCAGGAGCTTATGGAGGTGACTGCCTTTCCCCCTGAACACTGCAACCCGAGAATGTGATGTGTGAAGCCTTAGAGGGGAGCCTGGAGCTGCCATGGGACCTTTGTACATCTGGGAGGCTTCCAACACTGAAAAGAAGCAGCACACTAACAGACAGAGAGAAACGGCGTTCTTGTTGACATACTATAAGCCACGTATCCAGCTTTACCTGAACCAGACGTTACATTTGAATGTCTCAGTTAGTTGAACCAGTAGAGTCCAACTGTTGACTAGACAATAAGGGTTGCCTGTTCAGTCTCTTCCAACCAGAAAAATTTCTCAACTGATAATGGTCCAAGGCATTTTATATACCAAGTCTTTTTGTTGTTGTTCTTTTTTGTTGTTTTTCATATATTTTGAAGACTTTGTTCTCATGAAGAATGGTGAGGTGAAGAAAAATCCTCAAGAATGTTTCTTTCTGGACTTAAAAGAACTCTAATAAATTCTAAAATTAAATCACAAATATCATATTGAAGGTGCACTGAGGGACACCTAGTCCTAGTAGCTTTTTTAATAAGGGTGTTCAATAAATTTGTGTATAATGAATGAATGAATGAATGAATGAATGAGTAAACAAGGTAGCTTAAGCCTAGACAGGCTGAAAAACCTGGATTAAGTTGTCCCATGAAATAATTATAGTTATTGTAGTCACTTTCAACTAGGTATTGTTTATAGCAAAAGAGGTTTGGTTGGTTGTTGTTGATTTCACTTAGAAACACAAGTAAATGGCAAAGGTTGGGAAATCTACTTCCAAATCCAATTTTCCCTGCTCATCAAGGCACATCTCCTGTCTTCCCAAAACAAAACAAAACAAAATGCAAAACAACAAGTACCTTTCCAATCTCATATGTCTACTGGAACTCAACTGAGTTCTCACCCCTGGGAACATGAGGTCATGAAATGCATGAGGGCAACAGAAAAGGAATTCAACAAGAAAATCTCCTACTTGGCCACCTCCTCATCCATTTCCTGATGACAAAAGTACTTCAAAGGGAAATTTTGAAGAGTGTGAAGCAAGCTGTCCTGGGCCTTCTCCTACCTCCCTTTGTGCATATTCTTCTACCATTTCTGACTATGTCCTTTTCCCAGACACTCAGATGCCTTCATCTTAATAGTGGTAGATACCATTTTCTGGGTACTTGCTATGAGTCAAGCCCTGACCTAATAAACTCATAAAGATTTAGTAATTTATCTGCAGCCATGTGGCAAAGCCAAGATGAAACCAGATATGTAGACTCTGAAGCATTTGCTCTTGAACATTAGTGTACTCTGGCTCCTCCTTTCTGAGCTGAACGTTCCTTGCTGGAAGTACAAGTCCCTGCCCTCCTATCATAGCCTACAGAGCTTCATGCTGAAAGTGCCTTCCTTCTTACCCCTCCCACCAGGACAACCATCCACTTAGTGCAGCTAATCTCCCTTAGGTAACAAAGGAGGAAAGCAACCTGAAGTAATTTAGGGTAACTCTTCATCTTTCCAGAGACAGTACATAGTGTTTCAGAAGGGGCACAAAATATTATAAGTTTTCTCCAACTGGCAGAATTTCAAACAGCTGATAAGAGCAATGAGGGGTGTTTTTGTTTTGTTTTGTTTTGTTTTTTAATGGAGGCAGTGAAAGTGTGTATTTTTTTGAGTAGGGTCAGGAGGAGGCTGTCTTGAATTTGCCTCTAATGTCAGTGCCGCTAGTGCAGATGACAGTGTTCACAATATCTTACCTTCTTCTACATTTTCATTGACATCTTTAAAAAAAACACACAACAAAATTGGTGTTCAGTAAATTCCTGCTGCCTTTATGTGCCATGTGAGAAGAGCAAAGAACAAAGCAGATAATAAGAACTCAGGTAACAAATGGTAGCCTAGAGAATGGAAACTTCAGCGCTAACTCCCAGGCCAGCCAGTGCCTTAGTTGAGATGCCTATAACCCAAATTGTCCAATTCTCTTTGTCTGCTCTTTAAACCCTGTCTGAATGCAACAAAACTGCTTAAATATGGATATAAACCCACAGGAATTTGGCCAGGTAAAAAGTTCTTTTTAAATATAACCAACTTCCATCTGAAAATAGGTTCTAGAAAGAATATTTTCATAAAATAATTTAATCCATTAATTTGTTTTATAATAACAGAAAGAAAAAATCCACCTTTTTTTGAGAGATTATGTGATTCCCACCTCTCTTTCCTTCAAAATTTCAGCAGCTGCACCTCAGCATAACTTGTCCTGCCTAACAATTTCTAAGAAACTGGCTTTTCACAGACTTTAGAATTCTAAAACTCCTGGGTTTAATTGGTGTGTCCTCAGAGGCCCGCAGAAAAATACAATCATAGGACAATAGGGGTCAATACACCTCTTATCAAGGGTTTACCTTCTATTTTGGTATCATCCATCCTTAGAGAGGAACTCAGAAGGTTAAACAGTTATTTAAAAAGCTTATAGAGAAAGTAAATGAAGCTAACGAAGAGGCCATAATCAAATACCGTATTTTCCGGCGTATAAGATGACACTGTGTTCTATCTAGTAAAAAGTCTGCTCAGATTGGCCAGAGTCAGAGAGGCGGTCTATTAAAAAAAGAACTGGTGTTGCCTCGGAAGTGGGGGGTAGTCTTATACAGCGAATATAGGCCTAAACCTATGTTTTAACTGTAAAATTAGGGGGTCGTCTTATACGCCGGAAAATACAGTATTCCTGGAAAAGACAATTGGCTGTTTTTCCTTTAGAAAAACAAAAAACAAGACATTCCTAGAAACAAACAAACAAACAAAAAATGCAAAGAGGAATGTTGTGAACCTCTAAGGATAAAACAAATAATATTAGTTTAAGAAAATTGCCTTCCAGGTAAATATAAAAGCAAAATTCTTCCCAGCAACATTTAAAAGTAAAACACTTATGGGGCCCAAAGCAATTACTGATTAAATAGCAGAAAGCAGGCTATGAAAATCATAATTGAAAAAGTGATCTTCCTCCCTTAAATAAATTAGTTATTTATTTGAACCTTCTTTCTATTTATTTGTATAATAAATATTCACAGTTGGGATTACTAGGCTTCATAATTATAACATTATTACAACTTGTTAATAATGAGAATAAAAGGATTTTAATATAATACAGATGCTTAAAAAGAAGCATTTTTTTCTACTGTAATATTATAAATATGCTTCTAACATGCTTGCATTTTTTTTTTTTTTTAGAAGCTTGCTACCACTACCTTGTTGTAGTACAACTTTATAGAATGTTGAGATCTCAGGCTCATTTTGGCTTCTCTCGCTCCCTCTAGCGTTTGCAAAGCCCATCTGCCTGATCATCCAGTTACCTCACTGAACGAAGTCCTGCCCATCTATGACATCACCCCCTTCCTCAACCACTGCGAGGTGAAGCTTTAACTTCAGACTTGGAGGTGGGCTGGGAGCAGTAGACTGGAATGCTCTCCCTCACTCACTCCTCAGTGTAGGAGCGCTCTGAAGCAGGACAGCTCAGCCTGCAGCCGCCTGGGCTTTGTGTGCACTGGACGCGGAGCTCGGGAGCGGGGGAGGGTTACCACTCCAGGTCCCAGTCAGTGGAATTACACAGCGACAGCGGCAGTATATATGGAATTGCTTTTCCTCGTCTTCCTGGTAAGTGTTTCCCTTTTTTTTTCTTTTTTTTTTTCTTCTTCTTCTTACTTATGATTGTCCCAGAAAGTTTGCTTGGTTTTTGCTCTCTGTAAAGAAATGACTGGGTACCACGAGGCATCCAAACCCAAATGTTTACTCTCTCCCCAGTTCCAGCAATATGCGTGCATGCCAGCCAGCAAGGAAAAAATTTGACTATTACAGCCAAATGCAAGAAGTTACTTAAAACCTCCATTCGTAAAAAAATAAAAATAAAAAAGATAATAATAAACAGCTATGTTCTGGCTCTTGCAGTTACTATTTAAAGAGTCTTCTGGAGGGAATTAAATTGGAAAGTTAAATGTTAAATATCAAAGAATACAAGGCAGATTTTTTTTTCTTTTTTTTTTTTTTACAGAAAGGAAAGCGAAAGGTCTTGCTAACTTGGTGTGTACTATATGTGTGGCATGATCACCAATTGCTGTTTTTACAACTGTGAAAGGAAATCAATAATCTCTCAGCCCATGAGTACGCAGTACATGAAAAGCATACATCTTGCTCACAGCGAGCTGAGCTACTCCTGGCGACTTCTTAGCCTCTGTGAGGATTCACAGCTACACCTAGATTTTAAAGCTGGCACTGCTATCCTGCCAGAGCCACTTCGGGCATTTCAGGCTTGCAAATCTCAACTAGTTAATTCAACTCCGAGGAGAGGGAAACTCGCTTCCAAACCCTATCTCCTCTTCTGCACAAAGCCAAAACCCATCGCTTGGGCAAATGCAGTGTGTGACCAGCATGGTAATTGGCAAAGTCTACTCCGAGAAACTAACAAAGCTGAGTCTGGAAGCTATGCCTGATGTATGCAAGGAGTTTGGGGTGGTGGGGGGAAAATGAGTAGAGCCCTCACCAAATGGGGTACGTAGACGATACTCGCAACTTATAACAGGAAAATCTTATTATATTGAAAGAAATACTTTGATACAACAGAGCTTTCAAAAAAGTAGTTAAATGTATCTTCTTTTAAAAAAAATTTTCCCAATGAATTAGGTCTGAAACAAAATGGTTGCACTGAGGTAAAGAGTGCAACAGGCCTGTATTTTCTCAATATTGGGGAGTGAGGGTGTTTTTAATTATTTATTTATCATTGATATTTGCCAATTGTAGAACCAAATTCTCACATGGCTTTAAAAATGAGCTATTTCAAATTTTCTTAATAAGCCTATCTTCTCTAAAAGGCACATGTGTTATTTCATTAGCAGGAAGCAAGAAGAATAAAATCCCTAGAAAATTGAGTCAGTGGTAGCAATGCCTTTCTTTTATCGCTAATTGTATAAGCATGTCCTGACCAACATAAACATAAAGAATGAATTTGTTTTCAGATATGATCAAAATGCTGTCCCAAAGTGACAGATGACTGATACTTGTCTCTTTTGAAATGTGTAAAGAAATTAATCTTTTAAAAGTAACACAAAATGTTATCACTACTACTAATATTAATATATCATGGTTTTAATCTATAAGAAGATTAAATTAGAGATATGCCATTTAGTTTGCAAATATATATGTGTGTGCACCACAACATATACACACATGCATACACATGCATTTATTAGCCTGAGATAGAAAAACAAGGTTACAAAAAAATATGGTTGCACGTACTTAAGTAAAAAAGTCACATCATAAATTTTTAAATACGGAGATTCCAAAACACATCAAGCTGAAGGATCAGCAAAGATATTATTAAATGAATAAACATAATGGTTTCATAAATACTGTGCTCCTGTATGATACTAACCATCATGCATTAATTGGGCTTTTCATTTCTCTGCTCCTCTACCCGCTCCCCCCCATCCCCCACACACACACCTTTTAAATCAATTATGCTTAGGTTCAAAATGCCCAATTAAATAAATACTTCCTAAGCATTAACATTTGTGAAATACATAATTGGGCAGCAAATAAAGTTTTTACCAGAAGAAGAAAAACTGTAAGAAATTTTGTCATAACTGAATGTGGCAGCAAAATAAAAGGTATGTTTCTCTGGCTTTCAAGTGTTAATTAAGGAGCTACCAATTCTATCAAAACTTTTTCAGAGCTAAATGAGGCGGTGTGAAATAAATTTGGTTGAAATCTTGTGGCTGTCAGACTTTGTTAGCAAGCTATTAATTATCTTTACCCCAGTTTCTTCTCTAGACTATATTGCCCAATCAAATAGAAACTCCAATTATGTTCAGCATCTCTCGCCTAGGGACACAAGACCCTAATGAAAGCTCAGTGTCTCCAGATGAAAAATACAATTATCAGCTTGAAACATGCAAGAGCACTGCAGAGAGGTTTGTCTGTGCTTTTCTTGGCCACGCAACCTAAGGCTGCCTCCTCTTTCTGGATGGTTTTCAATAATTTTAAACCCCACAAAAATCAGAAGCAGAGAATTTGCCTTGTTTTAATAACATGTAAACGTCTCTTCTTTCTGCTTTTTATTTTTAATATGCCAATGTTCATACCAATATTGAATGTAGTCATTTTTTAAATTAAAAAAAAATGGTTTAAAACTGCCATTTCAGTTAATCTGAACTTTCCTCCCCTTTTTAAAGGTGGGTGGGCTGCTAAACAAAGAATGTGACTAATGTCAAGATCCAGAGCTAACGTAAAAATTCTTATAAAGCCCGCCAAATATTATTTGATTTAATCAGTTTATTTTAATAGCATTATAAATAATTGTTGAAAGTCAAAGGAAGACCATCATAAATGAAATCAATGAGGAAAATAAAATGCAGTAAATTTCTCAAAGGCTGTAATTTCTTCCCTCCTTTTTTCCCCCTCATTCTCCTTTTCCCTCTCACCCCCACCCGCCGCCCCCCACCTTTTGCCCCAGAGGCCTTCACTGTTCTTCTCAACGGGAGGCTTTGTTGTAATTAAACCAGAGAAAAACTGGCCGGCAGCAGCCCACATCTGACTTGTGGTTTCTGAAAGCAGTGTTCTGGTAGCATGTACCACCCCCCAGCGGGCAAAAACTCTATAGTAAATCTCTCAGCAATATTAATTCTCAAAACTGCATTTTCCTCTTTAGAACATAAAAAGGGCTGTTTCTCAACTCCTTCTACCATTTCAAAAACTTATAAGTCAACAAACCAATTTCCAACTGAGAGATGGTTTGTAAATGCCTTCTGGGGAGAAAAAAACAAACAAAACAAAACCACAAAACCCCTCTTTCTCTTAAGGACCAAAATAGAAATATACATTTCAGAAAGCATGTTCCACTTTCAGAAAGCAGATCAGCGTCACTAAACTTGGTAGAACATCATACTAAAACACAGTTTTGAAAACCACGTTTATATCACACCCAAGAGGATTTTGATTTGTCTATCGACAAGAACACCAGAGAAAACAGATCTTAAAGGAAAATGAATGAAATATAATTTAAGCAGAAGCTAAAGTTGCATTTGTTTTGCATATGCATGATCGCCTTCTTAGCCCCAAAATCAGGTGTCAGGAGTGTATTAAAAGCTCGCTGCAGGTATTAGTGTGCTTAAATGAGAGGAGGGAGAAATTGCTCTCACACTGACAGACAATGACAGCTTTTGTTCTTTATTCTTTCACTTTCCATGTGCACAAGTTACCGTGGCAACTTTGAAAAGAAAACCCACAGACCATATTTGGTTAAACACCATTTTTAAAGTGTGCCGCTGGACTGTGGATTGATCAGTTTATGCACTGCTGTTTTGTTTTTGGTGTGTGTGTGTGTGTGTGTGTGTGTGTGTGTGTGGTGTGTTTCCTGTTACATTTGGTTTAAATCAGTAACACGCTACTCAGACATGAGAAAACAAGGTGCTTTATGATCTTGGATGTTCTCACCAGCCAGCACCGTGCTTGGCACACAGTAGAGCCAAATAGTTGTTGCACTAGTGTATGGAAATCTGAATATTAGAAATTTTAAGCACAACAACCCAATTGTACTCACAGCACTGAAAACGGAGTTTCAAGTCTGCAATGGGAAAACATTTGCTTAACAAAAGCAAGCATGGTTTTAATTGCAGTTGCTCAAAGTCAATGCAAACTTAGAGCACGTCCTCTGCCCCAGGTCTCTACTGCTCACCTTTACCACTCTCTAAATCATTATCTTATTCAATCTTAGGAGTCTTAGTCCTCCAATTTATTTAGTCTGGCTTTAATATCATAAAGGGAGCAGCATTCCCACTGACGGAAGATAACATCCCAGCGTGCCTTTTGGTTTTGAGGATGCAACATTTAACTTCACAAGCCAAAATACATGAAGCAGAATTAGACATCATTTATCACAAACCAGTTGGGGAAAAGAATCAGTAACATAAAAGGCGAAGTAAAAATCCTTTGATTAGGAACGTTTATCCTTATACTGCATAAATAAAACAAGTTTCTTCAGGCTAGAAAGCAGCCTGGATAAAACCAAGTCTGAAAAGGCACACTTGCTTCTCTGGCTCTCAGCAAACCCTTCAGACTTCATGACTCTCATGAGGAGAGTTAGAAGTCCTTCTGCTTGCCTGGCATTAAACAAAAGAATTGGAACTTTCCTGAAATCTGATGATCGTGGAAAATTTAACTACCAGACAGGCTGCTTAGAAAGCATTTTGCTGTCACTATCAACTACCCTGATGTTCTCCAGTTTGTCAGTTTAACCATATATGTAGTTTATGTGAAATACCATGTCCTTATAAAGACTTAGCATTCGCAGGTTGATAATTTTGTTGTGCTTTTGCTAGCTGCAATTTAAGCCTTCATAAGTAAATTGCTTTCCTAATACTCCAGATTACCATTGTGTAAAATCCAATTTACCTAGAAATATTCACAGACTTAGATAAATTTGATTAATCATGTGGTTTTTCCTCAACCTCAAGGTTTTTACTCAAAATAATAATGTAGTTAACTTGGATTAAAAGTTCTACATGCCATTCTACTTTTAGATTTAATATTTTTAAAAATTGTCAGCATTAGGAAATCATTATCTGTAGCAAATCATTAAAATAAACTATCTCAAAACTATACTTGCTTTAAGATTTTTTAAAATAAGCAATGATGTCAAATAAAAATCAATTTAAATCAAAGGTGGCAAATAAAGGATTTAGGGAGTTAGCAATATCAGTTTATAATATAACCTGCATCTAAGTGAAAATAAAAAACACAAGAAAATACCTTCTCATCTCATACATTCCCACCTTCAAAAATCTTGCAGAGGAAAAGAGAAGGAATCACATTAACATGTAGATTGCCCCAATTTCTTGATTTTATTTAAATACCAGTTTTCTATTCAGATTCAACTTCTTAAATTAATTTTCATAAAATATCTAAAAATGATAGCATGCTTATCTATTTACATACTTTATTATGTTTATCATGAAAATAAATTGGAGTTTTTTCAGACTTGATGATTACATTATAAATGCAATTTAGAAAAAACTCCACAATTTTTATTTATAAAAATAAACTGAATAAAAAAAGATCCCTATTAAAAATTTGATTTACCAGTGAAGTGATTATGTTTTTCTTCTTTTTGCTGCAGCTTTAAATACAACATACTAAATTATCAATTCCACTTAAAAATAATTTTAAAACATCTCTTTAAGTAGCCAGGTCTCCATTTATATTTTTCCCCAAGTTACCCCATTAATAATATATTTTTTCTAAAAGGTCTTTTTTGTTGTTGTTGTTCAGAAGTAATGGCCTCTTTCAAGCCTATGCAGACGTAAAGGCTCTGAAGTCCACGTTGTGGAAACCTGGGCCACAGTGTCCATGCCAGTGGGGGTCATTTTTCCTTTCATCATTCACATTCACCTACTTCTCCATGGGGGTGAATACGTAGAGCCAGGACAGAGAGAGGGAAGTCTAAGCTTGGGGACAGGATTGCTTGTTTTGGGTGGAGAGATCTTTACAGCCTTTGATGTGCAAAAGCTGGTTAGCACTATAGTTTCAAATATAAAAGGGAAGGAGAAGATGTAAAAAAAAAAAAAATCAAACGTGAATTGAACTGTTTTGAGCTCAAGTAAAGGGAATAGGGATCAGGGAGGGAATCTTCATGTCTGAAAGAGTATCCTTCTCTCCAGAGAAGCCTGTTTGATGTTTTTGCTTTTTGTTTTAGTGCAGTTTAGGGGAGAAGGGAATGGCATTTTCCAAGAATTTAATGAGATTTAAGGCTTTCCATTAATCCCACATTATTACCACTGTTGTATTAATGGCAACATAAGTTTACATATCAAACGGAGCAGAGGGAGCAGCTTCACATTGTAAAACGGAATATAAACACATTAGTCTTCCTTCTGTTCACACCAGTTAGGATTATTTTTCCTTTTTTTTATGCTAAAAATGTGTAAGTCAATCAATCAATATGTATATTTTTCTTAGAGCTTGATTTGGTGAAATATTTATAGTTACATATAAGCTTTACCTCTGATTATCATTAATTATCATCTTAGACATAATTGTGGCTGACCTGACTCAAACAATCAACAATTTAAAAATCTCCATTCATCAGCTTCATCTTCTCAATTTTGGAGTATATGTACTCGAGTATGAGAAATGCCTGATTATTGGTAACATTTTAAGCAGGTTCTCACTTAAGATTTTTATATTGTTTTTTAATAAGTTTCTAATTCAATTTAACAAAAGTAATTGTTTTCCTAAGCTTAAATTAACCAAATTATTTTATACTTTATATAATTTTCAAGCTTATAAAACATTTACAGCAGAAACTTTTTAAAGTAACTTTTTCATTATAATTTCAACATTTTGGTTTTCCATTTTCACATACTAAAAAAGCAACAGTTTTCAAGAAAAAAAATGCACTGTAGAAATTCAACAATAATAATGAGCAAAGCCTTGAAGGTATTACAGTAAAACATCACATTAAACCATCATTTAACATTCCTCTGTGGGCACATTGCAATACTCACTTGAGACTACTTTAGCCAGCTGCTAACTGCTATTTTTGTTTTATGTTGCCTAAAAAATAAATTTATCTGCAACCGTTTAAAGTTTTCTTTTGTTAATGCAGTTTATGGTAGCATTGGTTTCTGATAACAAATTAAAATAAACCAAATTTTCCAAAACAACCAGAAACACAAAATTTGGCCTTGCTTAACATTCACTTTCAGTCATGTTTGAATTCTGGAACAGATGCTATCCTTGTTGGATGCTAGGTAATTACAGGGGAAGAAGCAAATTGCTTCTGCTTTTTTTCCTTAATTTCAGGGTCAAATATTTCCATGATACTCAGATGTTCCCTAAATATACAGAAAGCCACTGAACAGATAACCTTGGATTACAGACACTGATCCTACCCACCTCCCCCATCCACCAAAAACAAACAACAACAACAACAACAACAACAAAAACACACCACTTCATGTATATTAGATAATGGACAAAGCAGTCATCATTAAAATCAGCGATCTCTTAGGTCAAGTCTTCAGTCTTGTTTCAGAAATGAAAAATACCCTTGTTGGAATTTTGCCTGTCCATATTGGAACCTAGAGAGAAATGCCTTGTCAGGTCTGATATGCTTTCCTAATGTTCATTCCAAGGACACTGATGGAAATACTGTCCTTTCTACTCCAAACACAGAGTTTTCCCATTTGCTAAAATAAAATTATATTCTCCTGAAAAACAAATTATGACTTTTGGCCAAGAAAACCTGATAAGTGGAGTTTTAAGATCATCAACTCAAAAACCCCTCCAAGGAGAAAGGTGATGGAGTGTACATTCTGCACTTGGGAAAACTGAGGCCCACGGGAAGAATGAAACAGGGCATTGAGCAAATCAAAAGAAAAGTGTCTAAAGTAAACTTTTTTCAGCTCTTTAAGTTGTGGATTGTATAATTTTGTAAAACCATGTCCAGAAATGTTTAAAAAGTCACCATGGTATTTCTGTAAAAAAGAAAAAATCCTTGTTCTGTATTTACTCACTTCTTTGACATATAATTGTTTTCTTCTTTTTAAACACTTTATATCATTTTATATCTAAGATTTAAAAGTGAACTCTCAAAGATTGGCCTGACCTGAATTCCAAAGCCATGGAAGGGGCTTACAGCCTCTTAAATGAAACTTTGATCTGTGTTTAATTCAAAATGACATTAATGAACAGTTAACAAAGTATCTCTTTGGTGACTATCTCAACTTCATTTCTTACTTTATTAATATAATGAAATGGGAAGTAAAAAACAAAGAGCTCATATTATCCCTTTTTACTAACTACTGTGGTAAAAGGTATTTTGCTTAAAGAAAGAAAGTTAAATTTCTAGGAAGTCTCTCTAATATGTTAAAGTTTATTATTAGAAGTTCATTAAAACATTTTACTTTCACAGGAGATGCTCAGACCCAGTATGCTTTAAGGAAGAGAAATATAAAGGAAATCTATTATGCTTCCTTCTTTTTTCCATGAAGAATATTTGAATTAAGTTTCCTTTACCTCCTAAAAAAGAATACCTGTTCTTGCATAACGTGACTACACCAGATATTCTAAGAAAGCAGCAAGAAGCAAAAGCTGGAAATAGCTATTTCACAGCAGGTAATCATACCTCAGGATGTAGCTACTGTACAAAGTTTATACTTGGATAACCCTGGATGGGAATAAAGGTGGGGGGTAACTGCCTGAAAAACCTATTACTATACAGGCCTTAGCATCATGAATGGCTTTCTTCATGAGGATCTGAAGTTACTATCTCTGAACACATTGCACAGAAGAGCCAATAAGAATTTCAAAGAAAGCAATTTTCACTAAGGGAATTAAGCTACACAAAAGAAACCTTCACACAGAAACTCTATCAGAAAGAGAAAAAAATACATAGGAAGCCATGTGTTCTACATGGTAACAGGAAGCTGAATTGTTTCTGGCCCCCACTTTAATGAGCTTGCCCACCATGCTGAACCACAGCTGGAATGTTCATTGACAACAGCGAGCCTGATCTGGAGGTGTGTGCGTCATAGGATTACTTGAATAAACAGTGAAGAGCATTTCCAAGGACTAAACAAGAGTTTATAAGTCCCATCCCCTCACCAGGAAAACAATATATGTGCATTGGATTTTTCACTCACGTAAAATTTACACACATCGTTCAATAAGGTAGGAAGTCTTTTATTTTCATGCCTGAAATTATAAAGGCTAATTGATACCTAAATGTACAGAAGAAATTATATTACACAATAGATCAGTCTGAATCTATAATTCTCAAGCCATGGAGAAAGTTGAATCATAATCTAGATTAGCACTTGAAGAAAGATAAATGCATTGTGAAAACATATTGTGAGATAAAATATAATGAAAAAAAGAAGTGCACAAAGCCGTTAAACCATGTAGTACAAAACATATAACAAAGTGGGAACAATGGCAAGACCTAGTGTAACTTGACGTGGAATTTCATTAGTTGGATGCATTAGCTATGTAATTCATTCTTTCCCTAAAGTAGGTGGAGATTTCATCTGCTTTTCTTGCTAGAACTACCAATCTAACAATGTTTAATAAAATAATAAAAGAAAAAGAAATAGCATAAGTAATGAAAGCAAATAATTAGCTTTACTGAATTCAAGATCTCAAAAGGTGTGTACCTATTCTTAAATAGTAAAAGAATTTATTTTTCTACTACACATTTCTATTCCTGTAGAGTCAACTTCACAAAAAGTAGACCAAAAATTGGTTTTTAAAAACAGTAACATTATTATCTTTAAATGAAACAAATTATATTCCTATGTGTCAATTCATTCTGAATATTAAGAAAAAAATAAGTATTTGATCAGCCTGGTCAGTGACTGGCTACAGAATTGATATCAAGTAAAAATGCTTTCAAATATTCAGCAAAACATTAATTATATTTAACATTTCAAACCAAATGGGTTTGGGACATGATACTTCTTAATTTAATAAATATCGGAAACATTTAAGATAGCAAGGTTATATGATTGTGTTCATTGTTTGTTAGGTAGCAAAACAAACAAACAAACAAAAAAACCCACAAAATCCTAAGCATGCAAAAAAAATTTGAAATATTAGAAGTGATTATAGATATTTTAATTTCCACATCTATTTTGAATATAATCTGAAGTATGCTGATCTGATTGCTCTCTGTCTTTTTTTTTTTTTTTTTTAACTCACTGCCTTGCAGGGCTCTGAAGCTACCTGGTATAAAGACCTCAACACTGCTGACCATGATCAGCCCAGCCTGGAGCATCTTCCTCATTGGGACTAACATTGGGCTGATCCTTCAGGTGGCACCTCTTTCAGTTATGGCTAAATCCTGCCCAACCACGTGCCGCTGTGATGCAGGTTTCATTTACTGTAATGATCGCTCTCTGACATCCATTCCAGTAGGAATTCCAGAGGATGCTACAACTCTCTACCTACAGAACAACCAAATAAATAATGCTGGGATTCCTTCAGATTTGAAAAAGTTGCAGAAAGTAGAAAGAATATACCTATACCGCAACAGTTTGGATGAATTTCCTACCAACCTACCAAAGTACGTAAAAGAATTACATTTGCAAGAAAACAACATAAGGACCATCACTTATGACTCACTTTCTAAAATTCCCTATCTGGAAGAATTGCATTTAGATGATAACTCCGTCTCTGCTGTGAGCATCGAAGAGGGGGCATTCCGAGACAGTAACTATCTCCGACTGCTTTTCCTGTCCCGTAATCACCTTAGCACAATCCCCTGGGGTTTGCCCAGGACGATAGAAGAACTACGCTTGGATGATAATCGCATATCCACCATCTCATCACCATCTCTTCAAGGTCTCACCAGCCTAAAACGCCTGGTTTTGGATGGAAACCTGTTGAACAACCATGGCTTAGGGGATAAAGTGTTCTTCAACCTCGTCAACTTAACAGAACTGTCACTGGTGCGGAATTCCCTGACCGCTGCGCCAGTAAACCTTCCAGGTTCCAACCTGAGGAGGCTTTACCTTCAAGATAACCACATCAACCGGGTGCCCCCGAATGCTTTCTCTTATCTAAGGCAGCTGTATCGACTTGATATGTCCAACAATAACCTAAGTAATTTACCTCAGGGTATCTTTGATGACTTGGACAACATAACCCAACTGATTCTTCGCAACAACCCGTGGTACTGTGGGTGCAAGATGAAATGGGTACGGGACTGGTTACAGTCACTACCTGTGAAGGTCAATGTGCGCGGGCTCATGTGCCAAGCCCCAGAAAAAGTGCGGGGGATGGCTATCAAGGACCTCAATGCAGAACTGTTTGATTGTAAGGACCGTGCAGTGGCGAGCACCGTTCAGGTAACCACGGCAATACCCAACACGGTGTATCCTGCCCAAGGACAGTGGCCTGCTCCAGTGACCAAACAACCCGACATGAAGAGCCCCAAGCTCATTAAGGATCAACGAACCACGGGGAGTCCAGCGAGAAAGACCATTGTAATTACTGTGAAAGCTGTCACCGCTGACACCATTCATATCTCTTGGAAACTTGTCCTCCCTATGACGGCTTTGAGACTCAGCTGGCTCAAACTGGGCCACAGCCCAGCGTTTGGATCTATAACAGAAACCATTGTAACAGGGGAACGCAGTGAATACCTGGTCACGGCCCTGGAACCGGATTCACCCTATCGAGTCTGCCTGGTTCCCATGGAAACCAGTAACCTCTACCTGTTTGATGAAACTCCTGTTTGTATTGAGACTGAAACTGCACCCCTTCGAATGTACAACCCTACGACCACCCTGAATCGAGAGCAAGAGAAAGAACCTTACAAAAACCCCAGTTGGCCACTGGCTGCCATTATTGGTGGGGCTGTGGCTCTGGTGACCATTGCCCTTCTTGCTTTAGTGTGCTGGTATGTTCATAGGAACGGGTCGCTCTTCTCGAGGAACTGTGCATACAGCAAAGGGAGGCGAAGGAAGGATGACTATGCGGAAGCTGGCACTAAGAAGGACAACTCCATCCTGGAAATCAGGGAGACTTCTTTTCAAATGTTGCCAATAAGCAATGAACAGATCTCAAAGGAGGAATTTGTAATACATACCATATTTCCTCCCAATGGAATGAATCTGTACAAAAACAATCACAGTGAAAGCAGTAGTAACCGAAGCTACAGAGACAGTGGTATCCCAGACTCAGACCACTCACACTCATGATGCTGGAGGACTCACAGCAGACTATGTCTCGGGTTTTTTAAAACCTAAAGGAGGTGATGGTAGGAACCCTGTTCTACTGCAAAACACTGGAAAAAGAGACTGGAAAAAAAAGCAATGTACTGTACATTTGCCATATAATTTATATTTAAGAACTTTTTATTAAAAGTTTCAAATTTCAGGTGACTGCTGCGATTGATGTAGTGGAGATGCCTGAACACAATTCTATATTTTAGTATTTTTTAGTAATTTGTACTGTATTTTCCTTGCAAATATTGAAGTTATAAACCATTTACTTTGTGTTCTACTGAGTAAGATGACTTGTTGACTGTGAAAGTGAATTTTCTTGCTGTGTTGAACAATCAGGACTGCATTCACATGAGATCCTTGTAGTATAAGCACAGGCCATTTTTCACTTTGGTATTAATAAAATGTAAAAAAAAATAATACCTGGCTGAATGAGAAAAATTAAATTTCAAAAAATATTTATGAATTAATGTTCCAATTATTAAATTTGTATTATCCCAGTTTTCAATAAATCAAAATATGTGAAGTAATGGGCAATATCAAACTTGCTGCATATCTCCATTTTCAGTCTAAGAAAACCAGATATCCTTAAGAAAGCAAGTATATTTTCTGAACTGAATACATCAGCTGGCTTAAAAGGAGTGTGAGGTCTGTTATTAACAACACTTTGAGAATAAAGGACTTCACAAAAACAATAAAGTAAGCATGTCTCCAAGTTGGGGGAAAAACTTGTACTTAGAAAAACATAAGAACTTAAACTTGAATAGCATAGTGAACACAGATATCAGAATAGCATTTTGGTTTTGCCTATACCATTCTCATTTTTGAAAAGTGAACTCTAAAGATATAATTGTTAGTGTTTATAATGTTTTTTATCACAAAGGATGTCAAACAAACCTTATACATATTAAAAAGGTAGCATAACAATAAGAAATTCCCCTCAACACTGCAGAGAAAGTAGTACTTTAAATAAGTGAGCATTTAAAAGAAAAATAAATACTATAAATCAAACTTAGATTCTGTTTAAGTGAAATGTTTTGACACTGTACATAAATGTTCAATTTACTTTCACAACAATCAAGATTACTGCCCATTACTATCACTGTTTTCCAGATATTACATACTGGTAATGAACTTGTAACATTTCTTTCTAGCTTCCTACTGAATTGTGAGCTATTACTTGTTTAAAAACCACATCATTTTCTGTTGCCATGATTTTTTTTTTCCCCAACAAAAAAAACCAAAGTGCATTGTACGCCCTTTGGCCAGTCTTGTATGTGCCTTGATCCAACGCTACATGTATTCAGCTTCTAAAATTTGACAAATTTTTCATACTTCCTTAAATATGAAAAATTATGGTCTTATTGCTGAATAAAACAAAAAAAGTACAAAATAGTTGTGCTTGCTTTTTCGGGATTATGTTACTATCACTAAAGTAGCGAATTGCCCAGCACATTAGTCTAAGTACCCCCATGTATTTTTCTAGGCATAAAAATAAAACATTGGGTACAAATAAAAAAGAAAAATAGCAGTATCTTGAGCTTGTGTATCATTTTACTTTAAAGAGTTCAGTGTTTCATGCATAAATTAATTTCCTGACAGACTTTTGAAATTCTTTTGCTTATTCAATCCATTGATGGAAAATTCAGGAGAGGTTTTGTGACCTTTCTGGTTTGTTCCCTGCTGCCATTGTCTTGGCAGACACTTTTTAAGGTGTTCTTTGAAAAATTACTATTTTTTAAAATAGCTTGGTACTGTGATTTGGCATCAGAGGATTTGAAATCTCAGATGTACCACTTACCAGGTATGTACTTAAATATAAACCATTTATTCTTCTTAGCTTAGTTTCCTTATCTATAAAATGGGGCTATTAATAGCACCCACCTCACAGGGTTGCTGTAAGGATTAAGTGAGGTGATATGCATGGAAACTGTACAAATGTTGAACAAATTGTAAGTTACTACTATTTGGGTCAAGAAAAGTTGGCCAGGTGTTCCCAGGGTTTTGCTAGATATTGCTCCTTCTTACTATGCTAACGAATCTCTCTGCTGCCTAAGTATCATCATTCATTATTCATTTGCCATCTTCAAATGTTTCCCAATATTTTCTCTTTTGATTCCTGTTATCGGTGTCAGCTGTTTTCTAGGAATAACTTCACAAAAATAAATGTGATTAACTTCAAATATAGGAAACATTTTCTGAAGGAAATTTGACTTTGCTTTCAGAGGTTTTTGAGTAGTTCAGATGCAGTCCTGACTGAAGTCCAGGAAAGAGCTAGATGGTTCCATAAAGTCCCTATGAACCTATGAGTTTATAAAAAGCCAAAAGCCAGAGATTATATTCACTATTTTCCAGTTAATATACCTGGAAAATTTTGTCTTCCTGTGAATTTAATAATTTTACCCGGGATAAACCAGAACCATGTCTTGTACCAGAGAGGTTAAACCTTTATTGTTTAACTAGGCTTGCTACAAAATCAAAATCCAAATGCTTTGCTGAAAAAATAGATATCCTCTCAATAGAACAAAACCACAAATCAACTTAAAGGGCACTAAATTAATTACAGGTACATTTGCATATATTCCAAATGAAATAGTCACAATTTTTATTGATCAAATGCTAACACAAAACTAACACAAAATGTAGTGAAAATATCGAATCCTGAGTATAAAGATTTAACAAGAACACAACTGGTGAAGTCACACACACACACACCAAAAAAAAAAAAAAAAGGTAAAAAGCACTCCCTTGCTGATTGTTTGACAAAAATCAGAAATTGTTTTTGGTTGCAGCCTCTAGTAACCACATTAAATCACTGTGCTTACACTCTGATTCCCTATTAAAATGACACTGCGCTCTATATTTCAACAAGTCTGAGTTAGTAAAAGTATTCCTCTGTGACAAAGGAACTACTGAAAAACTCTGCTTTACTAACTACAGTTTCTGACTAAAGCATATTGTATAGCCACATGCCAATGTGACAGTTTTTATGAGGAATCCAGAGACCCACATGCTTTACAACACCTGAAGTGTGGGAGTTAAAAGAACCAATCCACCGCTATATTTAATATTAGCTCATCTGCTGCTGAAAACAGTAGAGGCATTTAAAATTTTAATTCCTTTCTCCTACTTAGCATGATTAGCAAAGCTTAATTTAGCATAGTTCTGGAATTAAAGCTTCTGCACTTTATGCTTTTGGATGTTGGTTAAATTAGCAAAATGTAACTCATGCTTATTCTGAGAGAGTAGAATGTATCTACCAATAATCCCGATAACCAATGACCTTCACTGAGTGGTTTCTATATTATAATGAAACCTTGCCTTTAAGAATGGTATTGTGTAGAGGTTGTTAGATATAAATATAATCTAATGAAAGTTTACTGTGACTGCAGTATAGAAGAAATAATTACATCTGCTTGGATGAACAAGGAAGACTTCATGAAGGAGGTAAAATTAGGGATGGGTACTGGAAGATATAAAAGCAGATGTATTGAAAGAGAAAGCAAGAAAAACAGATACTGCCTGGCCAGCATGGCTCAGTGGTTGATGATCGACCTATGAACCAGGAGGTCACAGTTTGATTTCCGGTGCCCAGCTTTCAGGCTTGATCCCCAGTGAGGGGCATGCAAGAGTTAGCCAATCAATGTTTCTCTCATCCCTGATGATTTTATATATCTCTCCCTCTCCCTTCCTCTCTGAAATTAATAAAAAATGTATTTTTAAAAAGGAAGAAAAGAAGATACTAGCTATGGAGTGAAAATGGTAATCAAGTCATGGAGACAGGAAAATAGGGCAATGATTTTTCAGCAGCATTGGTCAGGATCACTTGGGGAGCTTTATTAAACGAGCCCTCAGAACAGAACTACCAAATTTAAATCTCCCAGGTTAAGTAAGGTTCATCATTTAATGATTTTTTTTTTTAATTCCAAAGATGATTCTAATGAGTCTGAAGGCCACTAATTGTTTTTGTTTTAGTTTTAGTTTTATGCCAGGCTTTGTAATATATTGAATTTCATATTGAGAAGTCTGCATGATATTATATGGCTTGTGTATAAACAATCAGTATACTTGCGGGATATTTAGTAGAAATAAAGAATTCTACACGAAGGATGAATGAGAAGTTATCTGGAAGTATTAATAAGAAGACAAGTTAGAACCCAAACAGTCTTCCAGGCAAGCAGCAATAATGGCCTGAGCAGGGGAAAATAGGTTTGTTTATTTTTTTAATGTAATTCAAAAGATACAGGAAAGGTAGAACTCCTAGAAATTGGAAATTGAGGAAGAATAAGAATTAAAGATTTGAAGATGACTCTCAGCTCACGTAAAAAGAATGCTGATGAAGCAATTGATGATAGAAAACACTAGAAAAGCAAATTTCAGAGTATTTTTGTACACAGTGGGTGTGAATATATGACCATATGCACAGTACAGGTTTATACTGGCTAACTATTAACATTGCCCTATTTAAACTTTCATAGTGACTCAGTTTAGATAATAAATTGTAATTGTCTTGGGTTTAACATATTTTTATGGTATCCCTCTGGAAATGTCTATAGGAAGTTGGAATGAATGTCTAGGACAGATCCTCAGCATCAGGAAAGGAATTCATTCCTAGCAGGTTATTATCAAAATCGAGAGGTTGGATGAGATTACCAACAGAAAGTGGGCAGAGAGAGAGAAAATAAATGAGTCAAAGGTACCCTTTGTAAGGATAGAAGAGGGTAGAAGAGTCCAAAAACTAAAGCAAAACAATAGGAGGGGGTCCACAAAGGAGGAAGAATCACGAGAAGAAGATATGAAATCGGGGAACTAAAAATATTAAGAAAGGAGGAAGTAAAAAAATGCAGTCAGGCCTGCCTGGCGTAGCTCGGGGATTGAGCATCCACCTATGACCCAGGAGTTCACGGTTTGATTCTCAGTCAGGGCACATGCCCAGATTGTGGGCTTGATCCCCAGTGAGGGGCCTGCAGGTGGCAGCTTATCAATGATTCTCTCTCATTATTGATATTTCTCTCTCTCTCTCTCTCTCTCTCTCCCCCTTCCTCTCTGAAAACAATAAAAATATATTTTTCAAATGCAGTCAGAAATATAGACTGGGAAGAAGACACTGCTGAATATGGGAAAAAAGGAGATCTATTGATACATGGATTTTGA